CCAGTTCTGTTGTCGGAACCTTGGCAAGGCCTTCATCTAAAGGCTGGGGAAAACCTGGTTCTTGAGGTGAAAGTCGAAAGTATCCCGCCAGCCACATTCAGGTGGTATGTGAACAATTTCGAAGTCAAAGTGGGACAGTTCGTCTCAATTTCGCAACCGTCAGAGAACGTTTCCATCGCGATCTTCTCGAAACCTTCTCCAGGACAATACAAAGTGGTTGCGGCAAATCCACTCGGTGAGGTGACCGCTGTCACCAGAGTAACGACAGAGCACACAGTGGAAGAGAGAACGACCGTCACCACCACCACCACTACGACCCCTGCGAAGCCACTGTTCACACTGACGAGGAAACCCACTATTACAGTTCGGGAAGACTTACCTAAACCACCGCAGATTGTCGAGAAACTGCCCCCAATGCTGAGAATTCGCTCGACGGAACCGATTTCTTTAAGGGTACGAGCTGACTCTGTTCCAGAGGCCACGTTCATGTGGCTCCTTAACAATTTTGAGCTGAAGAAAAGTCAGAATGTGGAGATCAGCCGAGTGGCCAGCAACGTCTCTGAGTTACACCTTCACAAGGTGCAAGCTGGGAGATATGACGTGGTGGCAAGGAACCGCCTTGGTCAGGACTCTAGTTCCTGCAAGGTGATTGTTCACTACGAGCAAGAGCAGCCTGTATCCCCACCAAAACCGCCATCGTTCAGTCAGTCGTTGTCTAAGGAGACCACCGTTGAACGTGGAGAAGTCACCAAATTAGAAGTAACTGTCTCTGGAGCTCCTCCATTCACTTTCAAGTGGATACTCAATGGCGCAGTTGTTACTTCCAGTAAGGACATTGAGATAGTCGTAGAAGGGAATCGATCTGCTCTTAATCTACGAAAATCTGTAGGAGATGGTGCGGTTGTAGTAGTGGAGGTCAGGGATAGAAATGGTACGGCACGTTCTGAAACCATTATCAAAGAAGTGTCAACGACCACGACGGTCGTCGAGGAGTTGTCAGATTCGACTACAACCACTCTCAAAGAGGTCTCGATGGCTACGACGATGGTCCCAGAGGTGCCTGCTCCGGCACCAAGCAGAGCGCCAGAGTTCATCCTAAAGCTCAACAAGATCGATCTAATGGAGGGTGATACTCTGCGATGCCACGTGAAAGTGAACGACGAATGTGACAGTTGTACCTTTGAATGGTATGCCAACGATATGCAGATCACCTCCGGGGAACAAGTGCTCGTCGAATCGGGTCCCAGGGAAAGCCGACTGTCCATCGAGAACATGGGCGAAATGAGCGGCGTCCAATTGACCGCCGTAGCACGTAACCCGCATGGGACCTCAGTCACTGCAGCACAGCTTGACATTGTCAGAAGTGAGTTTCACACGGATTTCGCTAACTCTGTTGACGTCCCGTTTTGTTGAGTAACCTAATAATTTTAACAAAACACAGTACAATACGAGAGCCGAATCAACTTTGGAAACTTGAAAATGATGCCCAATTTCGCGATAATCAGGGG